GTGTTTGTTTTTTTGCTTGTGGGGTTTTTTTCGTTTGCTTGTTTGATGGGTGGGTTGGGTTTTTTTTGTTTGACATTTTTGTTTTATTTTTTAGTGTTAGTTTTTCACCAGTCTTTTTGCTGGGGAAACTCAGCCATCTGCATGACCCCTCAAAACTGACATCCTTAAAAGACAGCAGGGAAAAAAGCAGTGAGGGAAGGAAAAGACAACAGATGCAGGAGCATCCTGCTCAAAGAAAACCTTCTCCAAACGATGGCTTGGGTATCTGCACAGAGAACTTTTATTTCCATTGACAAGCTGCCAAGGAGTAGGAATGGTTACCATCAAAGCCATAAAAATTAGTTTAGGAGCTCCTCAAGAGTCTCAAACACATAGTGTTTATTCTGTTGTGAAGATTTACTATTTCTAATTAATTGGCAATCCATTAGCTGGGGAGTATTTAAAGGATAAAAGAAGGCAATGCACCAAAGAAGAATGCCACTGAACAGCTTAACATATTTGAAATGGCACTGAGTTGTACAAAGTCAGTGAGCTAAAACATCAAATAAATGGGGAATCACTTTATAGTGGCTTATTAAAAGAGGGAAAGGCCTCCAGAGGGCCAAAAGAGAAAAGGTAAGAGAAGTGAATGAGGAGACGAAGATGGCAAGGAAGGATTAAACACTGTTTACAATGCTAACCTACAACTGGGGAGCAATATAAGTAATTAGGGTACAGCAGAGAATAATAAATTAAAGGATGGAGAACAAAGCCAAGAGTAGAATATGAGAGTGAGAGAATAGTGAAGACTAGCACTCAATACAGAAAGTAGCAAAAGGGAGCTTTTAACATGAGTGTAGCAGCGGAATGAGCAGGAACCATGACTGAGATGGGAAAAAACCCACTGTGAAACCAGGAAAGGGAGAATTTGGGGAAGAACTGCAGAGCACTAACACACTCGCATGGAACACACATTATAATATCTGAGCATCAGCTTTCAACTATCCATTTCTTGAGAGATCTGTCAGTCTTGAAATTTCCATGGAAAATATCTGAGTAGAAACCTATTGCAACAGTTCAATAGGAGCGCCAGTCAAAAAAGGAGGTTTTTTTACACCGCAAAGAGCAAAAGACACAGCCTTTTTCCCTTTATGGAGATGGTTTAAATGCACACAGATCTTAGAAAGAGTTACTATGGTTGTGTGTTGTAAAACCATCATTTCTGTTGTGATTAGTGGAGCATCTCATGAAGGCATGACCTCCCTCTTTGCATTTTGAACATCAGTGCTGTTTTGCTGAAAGCCCATAACTGTGAGCTGGCCAAGCTAACCAGACAGATCAGCTGAAAATGGGTAAATGGAGGGAAGTAGAATTCTTAAAACAGCCACTTGGACTCCACTACAGATATCATCTATTCTAAGAGATAAATCTATGAATAAAGTGCAACCTATTAGTAATTTCTATCTTAAAATTTTAGAAGCAGTACTAGCTCTTTAGATACTTCATAATTTATAGTTTTTATTGATTTTGCTATAAGATGTTGTTGAGTTGAAAGTAACAGATAGTGCATTCCTACAGGACTGTTTTAACACAACTTATTTCTCAGTTTTTATTGACATTTACAAAACTGTGTTTTCTGCTTAAAGCACATTCCTCTTCCTCAGAGTAGGAAGGCAGCTGTGCAGTCTGGAATTTTTAGGAGTGCTGAAAAATAAATAGAAACTCCATCAAAACCTCATGCTCTTACCTAGAGACTTCCACGGTAATTTCAGTGGGATGTGCCTGGTATAGGCTGTTCTATTAAATACCAGATTTTGCTCTTTTCCAAAAAAAAAAAAAAAAAATTAAAAAAAAAAAAAAAGAGCAGCACGTTTCCTCCAGTTTTTGAAATGTATCTGAGTATTATTCATACACATATTTTTCCAAACAATGCCTTTACTTGTGAAAGAACATGAGGTGGGACAAATTGCAGCCAATAGCTTTATAAAGACTACGAAATTATTTCTGCATCTTATGAACATTGTAAACTTTTCACTGACCTGTCATCAGGATCAAAACTAGAGTTTCTTTTCCTATTTGATCAGAGGGTAAAACAATGATATTTGCAATACTCTGGTCTTTGGGATGGTGTCCAACTGCTCTGACACCACCATCCAGGAGGAATCTTGCAGAAGTGAAGTTACTAAAATTTTATTGTGAGTGTTGTAGATTGAAGGTTACTTTTGAAGGTTACTAATCCTGTAATAATTATTTTCCTGTGATTCTCTCCTTTTAGAAATGATATTTCACAGCATATTTCCATCAGAATACTTCAGTCTAATTAACTGTAATTGTAACCCATCAAATGTGTTTCATCTGAGATGCTTTTTAACCAAAGATAAATGAAGGAGTTTTTCAAATGATCCTCACAGTTTCTATAGGGTTTTTCTTTGTATTTCTTCAAGATAAGCATTGATCTAGACATCTTTTTCCATTCCAGTTAAAAACCTATGATTTTATGTTGTTATGGGCATCTAAACTCTCTTTTGATCCGCTTCTGCATTTTTCTTCATTTGAATTTCAGATCAAATAAATAGTTTTACCGAACCTCATGCATCCAAACTAGGAAAATCTCTAGAGTTTTGCTTTTACCCTGGATTTCTTGTGTTTAAGAAGCCTTTTAAAGAAGGGCATCACAGTATATTCCCTTAGTGTCTGTCTTGGAACCTACTTGCAGAATAAAAAAACTAGAGTCTGGAGAAAGAAAAGTAGATTGAAAAAGATGACAAATTAAAAGTAGTTATAAATTACTTTGGTCAATAGATGCTTCAAAGTTGACTTACTGAACATAGGCTTTAATTCTTATGATTATTCTTATGAGAGCATTTCTCATGAATTTAGTGGTTCCTCGGAAATAAATTTCTACATGGGTAAGTTAAAACAAAACAAAACAGAACAAAACAAATGCAACCAAGTAAAAACAAATAAAAAATTGAATTTGTTTTATAAAATAGCCACAGTTTTGACAAAAAAAAAAAGTACTTTTGCTTTTTCTAAATATGTTTCTATTTAAAAATTGACTGGATTATAATTTAAAACACTGGACATAATATTATTAAAATCCTAGGTTTTACCTTGTACTGGTTTAATTTCACTTTGATATTCATAATATCAAACTTTTATGGGTTTGTTTTTTTCATAACTATTTGTGGTGGAAGTTAGAATTGTTCTACTTGGCACCATTCTAGATAGCTTTATATTGGACAGTTTAAAATAATTTTATATTAGATGGTTTGGAAAATGAGTAGGTTTAGATGGGATATTGGGAAGAGATTCTTGGCTATGAGGGTGGAGGGGCCCTGGCACAGGTTGCCCAGAGAAGCTGTGGCTGTCCCATCCCTGGAAGTGTTCAAGGTCAGGTAGGACAGGGCTTGCTGCAACCTGGGATAGTGGAAGGTGTCCCAGCCCATGGCATGGGATAGCAGTGGATGATCTTGAAGGTCTCTTCCAAGCCAGGACATTCTGGGATTCTATGATTCAGATATTCAATAGGTCTGTTTCTTGAACGGATTAATATTGTGACCAATTTTTCATTGTCTTTCCATCCTTCACCTTCATGTCAGAAAATGTTTTTACCATTTATTGCTGCACTGTTCACCAAAAGGCAGATGAGATCCATTTGGTTAAAGTTCTGGACACGAATCAGTGATTCTCAGAGTCACATTATAACTTCAAATAAAAAACATTTGAGATCTTACTGACATTGACGTTTACATAGGAAGTATCCTTATATAGTAACTATGGTATAGTAACTATACCATATGTATTCCCTAAAAAAACCTCAACTGATTTGTGAGTTTGAAACTAGATTTCACAAAAGGTATCTCTTCTTCTTGAAAATAGTGTCATTTATAATAGCCTTTATTGAATGTAAAAAAAGTTGAAATTGGAACTTTTTTGGTGATTACTGTAATGATTAT